CCTTCTTGGAAAAATTGGGCCAACAATTATTTTCCACATGGAAAGTAATATCATTTTCCGGCCGAAAAGGTGAAACCAGCACACGGAAAACAGATTCCTTCTGTTAATTGAGGGTATGAAAAATGCGGAAAATTAAAGAAATGTCATCTTCAGTTCTTCACTAGGACGTCGCCACCCGGAATCCGTCCACGGCAAAGCTGACGCACAACAACGTCATATACAGTGCTGGTGACGCACTAGAGTACGTCAGTCACGTTGACGGTGAGGTCTACACCCGTCTGGCCCTCCCCTCCATTATATCATCCCCAGGCACTTCTCTCAATTTTAAAAATCAATCATCAAATTTTCCATGCAAGAGGCCATACCTTACAGAACATACAACACGGTTGCCGGCGGCAGCCGTTCTCCGCCGCGGCGTGCTGGTGGTGGGTCCAGAGGTGGAGGGGATGAGATTAATTTAACCAAATTGGTAGTGGAGAATGCGGTGGTGGTTTTTGGGAGACGTGGGTGCTGCATGTGCCATGTGGTGAAGAGGTTGTTGCTGGGGCATGGGGTGAATCCGGTGGTTTTTGAGGTGGAGGAAGAGAGAGAAGCCGCTGTGGTTAATGAATTGGGTGCAATCAATGGTGGGAAAAGGGGAGGAGGAGGAGGAGGAAAGGACGGCGGCGGAGTACAGTTTCCGGCGGTGTTTGTGGGAGGGAGGTTGTTTGGTGGGTTGGATAAGGTTATGTCTACTCATATTTCAGGTGAATTGGTTCCCATTCTGAAAGATGCAAAAGCTCTCTGGTTGTAATTAATGATTTTAGCGTTTATTTTTTTCCCCTGTTTCTTCTAATCTCGTTCTTTAATTTTCTATGTTCCTTCTAAAGAAATTTGTTGAGGGGAGGAATGCAGGAAATTACTTGAAGTTCTAATTCCTTGTTTCTAATATTTGGGTTTTGAAAGATAAAAGAATTTGAAAGTCGCTGATCAATTAGATGGTTTTGCTTTACAATTTGTGTAGATTGATCATGTAATATAACCATATTCAAAAAAATCTATTTAATGCATTTTACTTTTTGATATATGCTTTATCTATTCTTTTAGTTAATAGATGAGTTATATATACAACAAGTAAATCTATATTCTTATAATTTCTTATAAACTTTTTTAAATTTAAATTTTAAATTTTAAAAATTTTAAACCAGTTGAGACGATAATCTGGCACTTACCTTGTACTCAAATATTGTTCTTGATTGCATGTTCGGAATGAGTATACTTCTAACATGCGCTGTGCCAAAGTATACTCTGAAGGGAAGCCAAGAGAAAATCACATTCCTGAATCTCTTGCAGCCTTTAAGCTACTGTGGCAAGAACATGTGGTCCCTGCCCTTACTCAGGGTTCGAGTTGCAGAGATTAATCTGCCTTAATAAAAACTCCTCTACCCCCAAAACTCCGCCATGTAAAAAGCTAATAATAATACATCTCAGAACAGATGAATTTTCACAAATTCTCCAATTTTGACTTTAATGGATATCTTTTTTTCTTTTTTTCTTTTTTATCAGATAAGAAGGAATGTTATTTGATCGCCGAAACTGAAAAAGAAAAAAAAAACTATTCTTATAAACAGCTTCTAATATGTTCAGTAAAAATTTTCTCAGTAAAATTTGTTCCTAAGCAAAGAGATCCTTTCTCTAGATTGGGGGCTTAGAGATGAAAGGTTCCACACACGCTAACCCTGGAAATATTAGTAATTCGGGCCCCTTTACAAACACAAGTCATTGCTTTACACCTTTGCCCAAATGGTTGTCCTACTAATATGATGACAAGCAGGAAATTTCAACCAGTAGGCTTTCCTGGAAAAAGCTGCACAACTTTTTAAAATTGGGTTTTTTTTGTCGCGTTTTGGGTGTATTTACTATATATTTTTGTGGATATTTTATTTTATAATTTATATTATTTTAAATTATAAAATAAAAATTATTAAATAAAAAATAAAGTTTTAAGAAGAGTTTTATTTTAATTTAATGAATTTAATGCACTTAGCCGCCTTAGGGCTGGCAGTGCATTTCTCCCCTTCCCATGGTGGATTCAATACCCACCTTTGTAAACTTGGTAACAAAAAAAAAAAAATTAATGAATTTAATGATTATAGTTATGCATTTTAATTTAAGTTGAACTACATAATATTTATTTGGCAAAACCATAAGTTAAGCCCCTGAACCAACCCCAGAATCGCTAGTAAGCCCCTAGACTTTAATTGATGCAATTAAGCCCTTGAACTCTGCTATCGAAGCAATTAAGCCCTTCTTCTTACGCCAACTTAACTGCCGTTTGGGTTTGCTCGCCTGACTTTAACTGCCGTTGAAGACACCCCGCTTGGCTGTTGGATGGCAAAATATTGCCATGTCATGCTTACATGGCAAGGGATTTAACATTTGACCTGGATTTTTGATTTATTTGATAATTTAGTTTTTTTATTTAAATAAAATAAAATAAAATAAAATCATAA